TAAGCTGCTCCAAAAACTGTGCTAAGGCTTCGTTTGCTGCTATGAAGAATGTCGGCTTACTTCGGCGAGTCTTTGGCCGGTTTGAATCATCACTATTTCCACATTTGATATCAGCGTACATTCGACCCTATATAGAGTACGCCATCCAAGCGTGGAGTCCATGATTTCAACGTGATCGCAAGATGCTTGAGCGTCCACAAAGGATGGCCACCAAGATGGTCAAGGGATTTCATAACTTGACATACGAGGACAGATTGCGATCATTGGGAATATATTCTGCTCAGTACCGCCTAACTCGAGGAGACTTGATTTTGACGTATCAAATACTGCAGAACCCAAACTATCCGTGTCGATCGCTTCTCATGTTATCGAAAAATGTCCACCTAATGGGACATAGTTTCAAACTACTGATTCCCAAGTGTCGACTGCATTGCTGGCGCCAGTCTTTTGCAGTCGGAGTATGCAGATCTTGGAACGCCCTTCCATGTCATGTCGTTTGTGCACCCACTATTGAATCTTTCAAGCAGAGACTCGATGAAACCTTGGTACACCTCACATTCGTACACTAAAGGCAAACGGAAATTCACTGTAGCCTACATCCTTTATCTCCTACCCGGATCTCAATGTGACTCCTTTTTCGATGTGTAACGATTCATTTATGTAAATATCCTATGGGACAAGAGAAGCACCAGCTTGTAAGCTATTCCCATAATAAAACTTTGTCTTTGACGTAAAAACACTGTACACATTGTCTGAATTCGTAATATTAAGGTTCGATCTTTAAACGTCACGGAGACAAGGCAAACACGTGATCTATAGCAATTTGGCGAATAACATATAAACACATAAAAAATGACTAAACCAGATGCCTCTCTTTAGTTGTGTTATCAATGAGTCATAAATCCTAAGTGCAGTTGATCCTGGATGGGAAATTATATAATTTACGAAGCTTAATTTTCAGGCGGCGTTAAGTTTGACCCAACGTAGCAGCCTCGAAAGAACAGTAAAACGGATTTAATTTTGTGGGGCGGAATAACGAGTGCAAATCTTTCAAGCTTTATCATACTGAATCCAAGCACAAAAATGACCGATCTCAGTGACTGCAACCTTTAATATCTATATCAGGGAATGGCTGTTACACTCTGCCGATACATCGTCCTTGGACCTGGAGCAGAATCACCTGTCCGATTGGTTGGTTTTTTAGTGCGTATCTCCGACTAGGTCAGCGACCGCGCTCATACTCTTGATCTTTTCAATACTTCCAACCGAAATATTCTTTTCAAAATTGCTAAGGTTTCCAACACTGGGCCTGCTGGATAACTTTCTTATTTCACTTTCCATCGAAAGTATCCGTTACACTCCTCTTCCTAATTCCAAACGCACACTCTGAAGATAGTGTTTCACTGATTGATGTGGCTTTCGTAACCCTCCGGTTACTAATGCATGGAACGAATTTCGTTTCTTCATTGATGCTTCTGTCTCCGCTTCAAAATGTTTAGTTATTTTGGTCCTCATTTTGTTAAATCCGCAAACCCCTTCTTCTTAGAATGGTTTTACCAGGCCTATTGTCGCGCTGTCCGTAAAACAAAATCAGCATTGGGCTTCTGGTGCCGCTCACCTAACCTTATCCCACCAATTGTTCTTCTGACTAAGCAATAACTGCACAACCGTAGTACAGAAGGCTAAGGAGAGTTTTGTTGAGCACTCCTTCCGGGAGCTGGATGTTGTAGACATATGCTAAGGAAACAACCCGTAAATTCTGTTCCACTAAATTACCATTCATTGTTAGAACATCTGGTACCTCAGTGTCCAACTTGCTTGAAAAAGCCAAAATGTTCACCTAGCGTTTTGTTTCCAACTCCGTTCTACCTAAATCTTCCACTCAACCGTTCACATACCATAAAGAAAATCGTCATTTATGTTCATAAAAAAGATGCCAAAAACCAAAAGGAAGTTTACCCAACATATTTTGCGCCCTCATGACATGACTCATTAAGTACTCCCATTTAGGATTTGAATGTATACGCTTTTATTTTGTTTAGTTCTTTTTAATTAAATTCAATATATGGTGCCTTGATTGGCTTGATTTTAACATCAAGAAATGTATTGCTAGAACAAAACTACTTATTTTTGCTCCTTTAAATTAGCAAAGTTTTGATCTGATTCTATATTACAAATAAAATAAGACTTACCTTTTAGCAGAAAAGACAATGAGGTTTTGATTAAGCTTGATGTCCTTTCTTTGTTCGGTATTCCCGTAGGATAAGCAATAGTAATCTTTTCCCCTGGATTGTGGTCAACCAATGACAGCATCATATCCTTTTCTTCGATTAATTGATTAGTTAAAATCATATGGGCCCCTTTCTGCGTATCTTGTGCTAGCAGTAATTTTTCAAATTCAGTCACTGATTTGTCGGATGTTGACATTAATGGTTCAACTAGGAGCACTCTGGAACCAACGGTAATTAAAAATAAAATACTGCATACCTTGAACTAGACATTCCTGAACTTGCATGATCAATGGCAAATCTAGTAGCTTCCAAAATGCTTTTTGTTGCATTCCAAACATTTTCAGTAGGAATTTCCTTCTGTACCAAAAATGACCGAGAAAGTTTTGCTCTCACTTGTTCCACTGTGTATTGGTTTTTAACAGGTATTCCTTTCACTAATATTCCGTCTGCCTCTAGTGTAATCCATTTTGTGGCTATATCCTGATATACGTTATAGCATATAAATTAAATTTCTGACATACGCTTATTTGCTTTTTTAACTCTTCATGTTTGTCCTCCAAAGCAATCGATAATAAAAGCTATAGGAAAGCATAATTATTCAGATAAGCAGCTCACCTCATTGAAAAGGGTAGTTTTGTTGTCAACAATCAAAGCACTCATATCGAGAGGAACAATAACTTTCAAATTTCTTTTGTGAAATTTCCGAATAATATGATTTAGCTCTTCCTCGGTTCCCAATATTTTGTCAACCTCCAAGAAACTTTTCACTCCTCCGACTTTTTTATCTTCCTCGTTTATATATCCATCATAAAGAGCAGTCAAAATAACGAAACCAACTCCTAGGTCCGTTTTCATGTACTCCAGTTTGTCTTGTACTCCTGATACCTTAGATTAGTCCGAAAAGTGAGTTTGTTTACCTTTCAAGTTGCCAGTTAAACCTCCATCGCCATTCTTGAATGAAAACGGGTCAATGGCGTATCCAACTTCCGATTGCCAAAACTTCAAAGGAGGTCTTGGAGGACATTTTGGTTTAAAAACCACAATCAGGATTAATGCAAGCAGCAACGCTGCCCACAAAACCCAAAATCCAACAAGCAGACCAATTCGAACACGGCGCCAAATTGGGGCATCTTCATTCACCTTCAGGATATCGTCACGAGTTAAAAGTCTAAATTCATCTTCTTTTTCATCAACCACTGTAGATTCTGCTGGTGTTCCTATTTCTACATCTTCCATTGTTTTATTGTGACAACAATACTCAGCTAAAAAAAGAAAATTACAATAAGTGAGAGCAAAATAAATCTTCATTCTTATTTTAACCTGAGCATTAAGCTTCAACTTTTAGTTAAAATTCAACATTTACAGGCCAGTTTTTTGAACAGTTTTTATTCAACTGCTGAGAACCTATTCTAGAAAGGTCAAACAATAACACCTTTGTTCAAACTGGATACTAAACAAAAGGAGATCGAACGACTTGGAAGATACTGTTAGCAATCTATCAACAAAAGTGAGCAAACGTACGGTGAATGGCCCTGCTAGCAAAACGACTACTGTTAGTGATGGCATACCGCTACCAATATGCTACAAAACAGTGGTCCAGATCGCTATAAGTTTACAGATTTCGGTGTCTTCTTTTAGCCAAATCACTAAAACTCGACTGTTAAAACGCTACAAAACCGATTAGGCTCTGTGGTCATTAACAAACAATATCGCTAACTAACCGTGCGATTTATCGAACTTTAAATTTCTATTGAGGGCTTAAGTCAATTAATAACGTAACAATTATATATTTCAAATGGTTGATGTGGATAATGAATAAGATTCAAGCCAAAAAAACCAAACCGCTATCATAGCAGTCATTTTGTAGCAGAATATTGATATTCAGCTAGCGATCGCTACCTACTGTTAGCAGGGTAGCACAAATATCACTGAAGAGGAAAATATATTAATATACAATATGCAATAACTATTGCATGTGGCGCGTAATTTGCAGTTTGAACTGATTTTTCTGATCAGAATCGCAAACGATCATTTCTAGTTCTAGTTCTGGTTCTAATCCATAAGAAGTAAATAATTCTAAAGACTCGAGCCATTAAAACTAGAAATGATCATTTTGCTTTATAGCTGTATAGCGAACAAATGATGTCACTTTAAAGTGACATCATTATTGAAAATGAATAAATGTATTTATTCAATAAAAATATTTATTTATATTTATTTATATATTTTATCACTCAAGAAATATATATTCTAAATATATTCCAGTATTATATATACTATTACCATGGTAATAAATTACAATATATATTGTAATTTATGCAAATTTATGCAAAGTAGAATATTCTACTTTGCATTTTACACAGTGCTAATTCATTACCATATTGTAAGACGACATCATATATATGATATCATCTTACAACATGGCAATCGTCATAATATCATGATATCAAATATTATCATGAAATCATTACCATAATACCTAATATTTTATGACAGGTTCATAGCTGTGAACTGGTCTAGCTCCTGGTCACCAGATAAACATCAATTTCTGCGGCTCTGAGAAAAAAAGAAAACAACTATGGATGTTTCTGTTCAGATCTGTATCCAATTATTCAATCTCCTTCAATTTAGAAGTTACTCACCTTTCAGCGTTTTAAATAACTGCCGTGTTCAGAGGGTCGACCTCAGGGTATTTTTCAGTGATTAAAACAAAAGAGACATCGGTTTTTTTATTTCGTAATATGGAGACCAGAACGCATGAAACGTAATTTGCCAATGAGGATATTAACCCACGGCATACTTCTTGCAGAAGATGTCGAAAGAATTCTAAAAGCTGCTATGGCACCGAAGAGCGAAACCAGAAANACCAGAAAAACATTCTACTTTCAAATCATCCCCAGACAAAAACCCGTCAGATAAAACAATTGGAGACCTAATTTCAGAGATCAAATCAAAAGATAAGCCTTCGAAGGCTAAAAGGTCTTTACAGAACAGGTGGTGGCTGGAGTTTGTCAGAACCTGTCAATAATGTTTGCTCACGTTCGTTCTGGATATTCGTCCCAAGAGGAAACAGAACCAAGGATTGGTATTGTAGAAACAATGTATTCTAAAACTTCCCAAATGTTAAAAGTAAGTTTGGCTATACCTAGGCTGTTATTTTAACAACGGCAGCGGAAATCTCAAAGTAGAGCTAATTAGTGCAATCGAGGCGTGCGATACGGAGTTCAACGTGGGAAATTGTGCCTGTGCGGCCTTTTTGAGCTCACTGAAATCACGGATAATAAGAAAAGAAAAACTACATCTTGTGTACAAGTTGGTATACTATAAAGAATCTATCCCTGGAAGATCTCTATCGCCGAACAATAGCGGTACATGCTAAACCTTGACGGTACAATTGATTGTGCCCGGTAGAGAATAATGGTCCTTATATGAGAAAGAAAAGATTAAAGGTAGCCTAGCTTTTGCAATTAATCTCCCTCGTCAAAAAGCCAAGTCGCTACTTGATATCTGAACTTTGATGGTTCTGATAATTATGCCATGGTTATGTAACCATGTCCTGAAAGTTCTCAATTATACAGGACTGATTGGAAGGACAGGGACAGGACAGATCACAGGACTTGCGGCGGAGCCAGAAGCAGTCCAGTTTCTTGCACCAATGAGCTTGGGAGCACCACGGCGCTGCGACAATTGTATTATTTCGTTCACGTAGGCGTGGGTGGGTGCGGTTCTGGAAAAGGAAAACGCACTTCTGA